GGTTTGGACCAATAAGAATACTATTACAGTAATCCAATCTCGAAAACACTAATGATCGGACAAGTGTGTGAGTAGCATCTTTTGTTAGCAGGTGTCTGATATTACTGATGGATTTTAGATGAAAGTAACAGATATTGCACAGGTTGTTGACATGAGTTTCCATTCCTAGACTTGTGTTTAAAAAGACGCCAAAATTTGTAACCTTATCTTGAGTCAGCTATAATTAATGTTGATGAATCAAGTTTTTGTAGATTATGTTTTGTGCCCACGATCATTACTTCAGTTTTATCATCATTTAATTTAAGCATATTTGAGGTCATCCAGGTTTTAATTTGCTGTGTACATTTTTCTGTTTTGAGATAGGAATCTGTTTTACTTTCTGGTGGAAAATTATCTATGATTTGCGTGTCATCAGTATACGAATGGTTTGGATGCAGTTATAGCGCCAGGCAGGGTAAGCTTACTCTTCCGGACACCTGTTACCACTGTTTGTCGTGCATTTTGTACACGGTGAAGTCCATTTGCTGATTACACTATTTTGCCAATACCGTTTTTGTAGGACTTCGAATTTTGTCTTATGGTTTGGATTGTCTGTACTTGGTTTTATTTTAATTCGACCGTGTGTCTGTTATCGCTCGTTACTTCAGTCAGTTATATAGAAGGATAACTCATGTTTGGCGATGTTTGTTGTTACTTCCCGTTTATTCAAGTGTTTGTGACACATCTCCAGTAGCAATGATCTCCGTGTTAAAATTATATTCTATCACATATGTAATAATGACTGACACCAATATTGTCCTTTAACGAATATTGTACGAAAAAATTGTGTTTTTAGCCAGTGAACCCTCTAGAGGTCACAATTTTTATTTGATTTTAATTACAGTTGATATTCAATTTGGTGAAAATCGGACTGACACTTCCGGTCAAAATGTCCGAACCCCTTTACGCAAATAATGTAGTGTAAAAGCATGTAATACCAAGGTTGTGGACCCTCTCATCCGATTTTAATGAAACTTTAAATATATGTTTATATCCCAAAGATATTGGTTCCTTTTGATATTAACGCATGTCGAACCGCATCAAATTGGATTGCGACCCCTTATTGTACGAGCATCGTATTTTTATGTTCCCCAAAAGCCGAATGGTTAGCACGTGCGCGCTGTATCATAAGGTCTGTCATTGAGTCAATTGGCATGGTTTCGATTCCCCGGTTGTACGTGACAAGGAGTAGGATCGCCTGTCCAATCTCGTCGGTTTCCTCCGGTTTCCTCCCACTGCTAAATACCCATACGCACAAGCGAATTATTGAAATAAAGTTGAACCATATGTTAGTCTCGAAATGACCTAGTTTGTGTCGAGTGGACGTTAAACTCTCTCTCTCTCTCTCTCTCTCTCCTCCTCTCTCTCTCTCCTCCCCCTCTCTCTTCCCCTCTCTCTCTCTCGCCCTCTCTCTCTCTCGCCTTATCTTCCGACCACACCAGGTTTTGCATCATTCAGCATTCAGTTTCAGGGGAGGTGACTGCTGATTGCTTGGTCAAAAATATTAGCAATATATACAATCATAATAAACAACACATGTACTAGTGGTATATTTACTTTACTACAATAAAATTAATTGTTAAAGTATAATCTACGATATATTTATATATTTTAAAATGGGGTTTTGTTTTATTTTCATATTTGATTCTTTAGCATCATCGAATCTGTTATACAACATTTACATGGTTTTCAGTTTAACGGTTTCTGCTAAACAATATAGAACTAAGAGGGAGAGAGAGAAAGAGAGAGAGGGAGAGAGAGTATTGGAATGAACTACATTTGTACGTGGTGAAATTAACCATCTCCACCGTGTGTATATATCTACAGTACCTGTGATGCAGGTATATATACTAAGCAGCAAAAGAAACGTCAGGTTGGTGTGTTACTCTGAATAGACGCATTGCATAAAACTTGCCAAATGTTTTTCTTGTATATTTGTGACCACATCTCCAACTTTACCTGAGCAATAAGGCTCCTTCCCAAACACAGAATTGAACCCAGGAAATGTTCTCAAAAACGCAACCTGACTTCTGAGATGGTAATGCTGCAAGTGTTGTTCACCGGGACCAGCCCTATAAAATGCACTCCCATACCTGGTTGAATCATTCACTCTACAACGTCAGCAGCATGCCACGACTCACGACAGCTTAGAGGAACCAGGCGCTTGGAAGACTCGACGCTCAAGCCGTTGCCAATCGAAAAAAAGAAAAAGAAATGGACTTTAACGTCCTACTGTTCTGCTCCTAACCTGGGCTAATGAAGACGGGCATACGCCATACAGTGTGCAATGAGGGAAATTTTGCCCGGACAGCGGCACTACGGCCTACTCTTATATCGAATTCCAACTGCCAAGGGATCTTTTACGTGCACGCCAATGTGTACACGGGACCTCGGTTTTTCGTCCCATTCGAACGACTAGACAGCTTTCCTTGTCAGCCCCTCCGTCCTGCATCACTGATAAGGGAGAACCACGCCGGAAAATCTGGATGAACTTTCTCGGCCAATGCAGGGATCGAACACCTGACCTCCAGGCTAGCGAGCTAGCGTCTTACCCACTTAGCCACGTGATCCCCCCGTTGCCAATCACTTCCAGGTCAATGTTCGGACCATCTACAGGCTTCAGCAACGCTTTCGGGCCACCAACACCACGGATGATCGCCCCCGAACTGGTAGACCAAAGGTTGCCACAAGACCGCCAGGTTGTGCGACAGCACGTGCAGAATCCCTTGACACAGGCATCTGAGACAGCGCGTCAGACAGTGGGAACACACGGAAGACCCATCAGTACCGATATAGTGCGCCGACGTGTCACCAGAGAGAACATCCATTGCCATCGACGTGAACGTCTACAGTTTGCCCAACAACACCAGAACTGGCGACAGAGGCAATGGAGAACGGTTCTGTTCAAAGATGAGAGTCGGCATTGCGTATCAATTGCAGATGACAGGACCAGAATATGGCGTCGACGTGGCCGCCAGCGTTATTCTGACCAATGTGTCATGGCACGAGACTCATGGGGAGGTCCAAGCATAATGGTTTGGGATGGAATCGGCCTGGACCAGAGAGTGGGTCATGTAGTGTTCCATAATCTTGGTCCAGGGAGAGGAGGTGGCATCACAACAGTGCGCTACATCGATCAAGCTCTCAGACCCCACGTCATACCACATTTCGCACGTCATCGAAAGAACGGTTTTCAGAATGACAATTCCCGTGCCCACATCGCCAGAATTACTCGGGACTATCTACCGCAGAACGGTGTCAACGATATGCACTGGCAAACCCTTAGTCCGGACTTAAACCCGATTGAACATCTTTGGGATGAAGTTCAGAAGAGACTTAATAACATCGTACCGAGCCCAAACACAGCCGATGGATTGCGCCAGGCTTTTCTGAGCGAGTGTGGTTCCAGGTGCCAATGGCGTTCATCAATCGTCTGGTCCACTCCATGTACAGACTCTGCGCTGCTGTTATTGACACTCGCGGTGGACACACCAGATACTGATGAATAGACTGTGTACAGACCCTAAACCTTCTCGTAATGTCTTGGAATTGTGATGAATTAATCACTAATCTGTCAACATACTGTTCACAAAAAATTGCTTTGATCCATTTAGTAAGTCATTTTCTAGAATGATTTGATTAAAGTGCCTCTCTGATTTCGAAATCGTTCTGATGGGTTTTTTTTTGCTGTTTAGTATATAATTTATAACATTTTATTTCATTCTAAAATTAACAATAGCTGAAGATATATTTTATATTTGAAATGTTTACATCTATAGATTAAATATGTAAAGAAAATAATATTACAATTTAAAGAGATTGAAACAACACCTTATCACCAAATATTTCTAGGTACAGTATTATAGACAGGTTAAATGATATCCCTCCGTAGATGTTAGTGGATAAAAATTAAATCAAATATTACTGGAGCATACGGGATAAACACTAATGTAGAATTGCTTGATTTAAATAATAACAGGCACTAACGCAATCAAAACTAATGCATACTTTAGCTAGACAGAATTTACTTTAGTATTGATCTATTTAAATAAAAATAAGATCATGGGAAATGAAAACTAATGATAATGTGAACACAACATTCATTATCACGCTTGGACAATGTGTTTTATATAAGATTATCATTGATGACCTAAGCTATAATGTAAGTCTCATAATAATAAAACAGACAGAATAAGGAAATGTCAGTCCAACTAACGGTTATAAAACGAAATGAAAAAAATGAAATGAAATGGGGTTTAACGTCCTACTGTTCTGCTCCGACTGGGCTAATGAAGACGGGCATGCACCATACAGTGCGCTTTGGGGGAAATTTTGCCCGGGCAGCGGGACTATGGCCTACTTTTATATCGAATTTCAACTGCCAAGGGATCTTTTACGTGCACGTCAATGTATACACGGGACCTCGGTTTTTCGTCCCATCCGAACGACTAGACAGCTGTCCTTGTCAGGCCCGTTATAAAACGAATTGGGTTTAATATTGGTTGGTTTACTGTGTAACCCGTCACTGAATGGATGTCATCCACAATATAGGTGACATTAATTGCTAGAAATGTACACCACTCAAATTTTTCAAACTATTATTTAGCGAAAAAAATATGCTTGATATAAACAATTTGAAATGAGGAAAAATAAACGCCGATAATATTCAATATAAACTCCCAATTGTCTGGTGTTGATCAAACTCTGGTATTATCTACTCACAAAGAAATCAAATGGAAACAAAATTAACTTTGCTTCAGACCCAGTATTTAAACCGAAAGGTACATAGTGACTTCGTTTTTATTTTGGTATTTTAACATTTCCATGTTTATTCTTATAAAACATGCTATAGCAAAATATAATAGATTGAGCAAAATATAATAGATTTAACAAAACATAATAGATTTAGCAAAATATAATAGATTTAACAAAATATAATAGATTTAACAAAATATAATAGATTTAACAAAATATAAGTATTTAACAAAACAAAATATAGCTTAACAATACAAAATATAGTGGGTTTAACGAAAAAAAATATATTTAAAATGCGTATAAAACATAATACTTTTAGCAGCAAAATATAATACTTTTTAACAACATATTATAGTTTAAACAAGATGCAATGTTTTTAACAAAATGCAATAGTAATATAATATAATAAACTTGAAATATTTATAAAGCATAATAAACAAAATATAACCATTAAGTTCAGACCTAAGCCCATGTATACATTAAATAGTATAAACTTTAAATAATAAAGCAAACCTTGTAGCAAACTTAACATACAATTAAAAAAGAAAATCCAAAACCAGCTCACGAAAGCAATTAAAAACATTTTGCAATTATCACACTATTACAATAGGATATTATAATTACAATCAACAAGAATTGGCATATGTTGAGAAATGATCCAGATAATTACCAACAGCATCGAAACAAAATTTCACTTGTTCCTGGAATAATATTAGAGATTAAAATGAAATGTTAGGACACAACTGTGAATTCGGGGGAGTGAAGGAGTGGGGGTGGAGGTAAGAAAACATAATTGGGGCTTGTCAGTCCCCCGATTAAGCTACATACAATGTTTCCACGGCTAAAAGAAATGCAATATCTCATGGGGGGAGGGGGGTAGTAATACATTAGAAAACAGAATTACTGTTGAACATCATTTTCAAACCTCAAAACCTATTATATCTGTATTAATGTATGAATGATCTCACATTTTCTAACGGACTGGTGGCACTATAAAATATGTCTATTAACAGACTACCAGCCAAAGATAAAATTAAACAATGAGCCTTTTTGGGGTAAACGGGATCTTATCAAATTAAATGTTGGAAGTCAAAATGGAAGCCCCCGATTGTGGACCAAATGAGGTCCTAGAGAATGTGTGTGTGTATGTTGGGGGCGGGGGGCATTTGTCTCACTTTGTCCCCCACCCGCAACATATGGTACTGGTCGCGGTCACAATGTTAAACTGAATACTATACTGATCAATATAATCAGACCAACGGGAAATACATTGATTTGCGTTATTTGGTGTTATTTGAAAGGCATGTGCATACTTACGTAACAAGTAATAATTTGTGGTCTGGATACTCGAAGCTGTATTATAGTCTGTAACACACTGACGTCTTGTTCTATGGTTAGTCGTTCTAAAATGGCTGCCAGAACACAAAATAGTCCTCCCTTGTTCACTCCATTTCTAAAAAGTAAATTTGCATATTTCCATACTTACAGTTCTTCAATGCTCATGTAATTTAATATTTTTACCTGTTTTAGATATCTGAATCAGAGGAATTTGGTGAAAATTATGTAAATCCATGAAATCAATATGCTTGGAGACTAGAATAAATTCTTTATCCGAGTTCCTGGTTTTTAGAAAGTTTCACAAATAGTTGTTCTCAAAATAAGTGCAGTCACTGCAGTCGGTCTCAAAATAAGTGCAGTCACTGCCGTCGGTCTCAAAAATATGCATCGGCGACTAAATGAATTAATGAGGTAAACGAACAAGGCCAAAATAGAAGGGGGAAAATCCCAAATGCTTAATATATGTATGAATATATCTTTGTATACATATGATTGCTTTGATTGGATAACACAATACATGTACGTGCTAAAGGGTCAAGTAGTTTCCATGTATGGAGGTTTTAAGGCGTTACTATTAAATTAGGCGATATTATAAAGGTCAGTTAGGTCATTTGGGGATGATATTCAATATTAGCAAAGAATTTATAAATCAAGGAAACCTATGCATCAGAATTCTACAAAATAGTCCAGGGAATGTGCATCAGTGGGTCTCATCCCCCCCGCCCAAACAAAATCGATATGTACGCCCATGGTGTGGTAATGTTGAGAGAAAGGTGTGTGTGTGTGTGTGTGTGTGTGTGTTAGGGCGGTGGCAGTAGGTTCACAATATACTGCAATTGTCCCGATTATCCGTATTCTTTTATAAATCAAGGAAACCTATACATCAGAATTCTACAAAATAGTCCAGGGAATGTGCATCAGTGGGTCTCATCCCCCCCCCCCCCGCCCAAACAAAATCGATATGTACGCCCATGGTGTGGTAATGTTGAGAGAAAGGTGTGTGTGTGTGTGTGTGTGTGTGTTAGGGCGGTGGGAGTAGGTTCACAATGTACTGCATTTGTCCCGATTATCCTTATTCTTTTCAAAAGATCGAAATGTGAGTTATCTCCCTTTTAACTTTCAGGTATCTCATACCACAAGTTAAAAGTGAATGTTAATTATTTTTTCGAATACAACTATCTGATACACTGTTATAACCTTATTTGGGAGCCAAGATGTCTCCATGGACCATGAGTAAACAGGAGGTCCCATATTTAATCCATGTACGTTCAACGGGATTATCAACCTGCTTTCCCCTTGTCAGTGGTGCGAGACGAAACGTCTCTAGTCGTTCGGTTGTTCAACAAAACAAAGCCCACGTGTGTACTCTTAGGTGTGCATGTAAAAGAGCCCCTGAGTAGGTAGAAACGTCGCTTTCCGAGCAGAACTGACTATGTCCATCTTCATTAGCCAAGTTGGTGCAGACAATAAGACGGTAACACACTAACACTATTTTATGGAATAACAATTACTGGTTTATTAACATGCAACGTTACGACAATGACGCTCTCGTCTTTATCAAGCAAATAAGACGGTAAACCCCATTTCAATTCATAACCTTATTAGAAACAATTTACTTTACACCACATGTATATTTTAACTTACCGACAGTGTACAATAATTGGGTTTTCTTTTTGATCATATGTCCATGATTGAATGTGTTCCAACAGGGTGAAAAATGGAGCAGATGATTTAGGTGTGGTTTCTTCACCTTTCCAGAATGTACACTGGTAGATTCTTACCGTATGATCTATCTCATTCTGTGTTAATATAAAAGAAAAAACATCTCAATAAAGGTCTCATACAAAGTAAACGTATAAAACTGCCCCAAGTGTTGCCAATATATTTACCGCACTGTTGATGGTCTAATCTCTTGAATATATCTCTAAAACGTAACACGTTTGCCAAAGTAACTGCATATATTAAAAAATGATTTGATCACATTAAGCGATAATAATAATAATAATAATATAGTAATAATAATAAAAACTTTATTTAATGAGGCAACTTATTTAGTTTGCAAAATAACTAATCTTCTATAAGTCCCTCCTAAGCTACAAAGACATAATATATACATGTAATATCAGGATAAATTCAAAATCATTTGAAATGTTCATCCATATTTGGGAAGGAAATTAACGCCAAGGCCAGTCTAGGGTAATGTTCTCCTCCCGGTCTGTGGCTACAGGGATCTGTTGGGCGAAATTCATCAGAGCTTACCAAGAGCAGCCATCAAAAGCTATATACAAGTTATTGAGAACGAGAAACATCTATGCAAAGCGGTTTTAATAATAAAGTTGTAGAAACGAACTAACCTGTAGTTATATTTACGATTACGAAGGCATTACTACAAAAGTAAATTCTACAAGATTTTATTCGCTACAAGAGTTCCACAAGATATTGGATATGGAATAAATTCAATTTTTTTTAAAAATGTATTCTCAGACCCCCAGAACTGTCTAACCTTGTCGGGTTTAGCTGAGTCTTCTGTCTAACCTCGTGGGTTTTCTTAAGGTCCATCATTTATGCTTTTAGTGCTAGGACAGTATCTAGTCTTTCGGATTGTACGAAAACAGAGGTCTCGTGTTCGTTGACGTGCACTTAAAAGATCCTTTGGCAGTTGGTAGGTAGTAGTGCCACTGTCTGTGCAAAATGTATTTCATAGCTCAACGCATGGCGTATGCCCAATCGGAGCTAAAAAGTATGACGTTAAACAACATTTCATTTCATTTTGTATTTCAGTGATTCAGACTTTGAGTCTTAGGCTTTTCGAACACGTTCGCATGAGACAAAAAGACATAGATCCTTGTTTAAATGGTGACTGTGGGCGTTTAGTTTTTTGGATAATTAACATTGGAGTAGGGTATCCGGGTACAGTTCTTTTAACCCCGTATTGCGCATATAACCATATATAGGCATAACATTATCATATGTGTCTCATATGTTTACAATCTACCCAGAAACGAAATCGTTCGACAAAACTTCATATTTCTTTATTGTTCTTTATATGCCCACCCACAGAAAATAACAAAATGGTTCCGCATAGGTAACTTTCATTGTCTGTTTCTTTTGGTGTCCTATCTACTTATATTTTTATATTTATCTACACATCCCCGTATAGACACTCATTGTTCTTTGCGATATTAGTTTAAAAGGACATGGCCAGATAATTCAGCTGTGTTTAACTATGCCGTTTACCATGCAGACGGAGTCTGTTCTCATTGTTAGCTGTCACTGGCTCAAATACATGGTATTTGTAGGTTTTTTCAATTTTCCCTAAGAGTGATGATTGCGCTAGATTCATTATATAGTCGCAGTAACCTTCTGGGAGGTCATTTACACTACTAAGCGGGGCCGCGACAGTGAAAGCGGGGATCGCATTTGATTGATTTAACTACTTGGATGGAGTCGTATACACTTACAGGAACGCGAATGTGTCGGAATTTCTTTCACATTTTGGGGAATAGTTCGAGAGAACGATTTTCACTAGTCAAAAGTGTGAAGTCAAAAGGCATACATGGTAAAATCGTCTGTCTACGCGCCAGTTTCATATGCAAATGTCCGTGTCGAAGCTTTCACACTCCGTATAAATGACCAATTACTCACTGGCGCACGAACTTGCAAATGCGATTATCCGGACCGAATTGGGATCCACGGTAGATCATCAGTGGGTGGGGATGGGGTGAAAAACGTAGGACACGTTGAAATTCGGAAAAAGAGTAGGTTGTGGCGGCAATAACTCACTCTTGGCAAGCTACACGTCCTATGCGCGTCTTCATTATCCTAGTTGTAGAAAAGCAATACGTTAAACCCCACTTCATTTCATTTATTTTCATTCTAGCTGTTGATCAAAAGGAAAATGTCTTGATGTCATAAAAGTCTACAAGCCTCTTTATCTATACTTTATATCGTTATATCATTCACATTAAGATTAAATAAACATTTTCTTAAAGAAAAAAAATATATAGCTTCATGAAACTTTATACTTATTTCATCGCACAGGAGAAGGATGTAATTTATACTAATAACACATAGACAGCCTTCATTGCATAAAAAACTGTTATCTAATCCAGGATGGTTTTATTGTATTCTAGTCTGTATAGTTTTAGTTGAAACTCTTGTGCAATACAAATGAAATGGTGTTTTACCATCCTACTTTTCAACATCAACCTCGTGTAGTAGTACCTAAGTATTAGAATTATTTTTACGGGCGTAGAAGGCAAATCAATAATTGCATTTCTTTCTACGTCAAATATCTTGTGGAACATTTATGGTAAAAAAAACACCACAAAATGTAGTTCCAGGGGGTCGGAGAAGAAACCTTTGAAAATTTTATTTTCCAAGTCCAATATCTTGTGTAACTCTTGTGGTGAGAAATCCCACACAAAAGCTGACAAACCTTGTCATACATGGTGATTTTATCTACTAAGCTAGAACAAACTTAATCCTAAATATCTAATACTCAACTTACATCTTGTGAATTGCCTGTAACCTGACATGTTATAATTGTATAAAACTCATGTTGTATTTCTTCTGTTTTAGTTATAGTAAAGGGGTCACAGGTTAGTGGTTTATCTCCTGGTAGGTACTGACCAATACCCTAAACAAACATTATACATACATAATCATAAAGTAGTTAACATCACGTATCCAACATTTCCTGACCTAGCTAGTAAAGCCCAAGGCATACCATATTCCAACATCTATTACACTCTATAATATTTTATCCTATGGACAGTGTGGATCAAAAATTACAACACTTAGGACACCCAGGAATCCGTTCGTAGTCCCCCCCCCATCTAACCATGGGTGTCTTACGCTACCATGCTCGTAAAGCTATTCATAACATTTTGAATGGTCAATAATTGTAAAGTGTTTTCCACGTTGTCAATCAGTCCTTGGGTGTCTTGTACAAGATAAGGTAGGGTAAACGATGGTATCATTTGATAGCCCGATGCGTTGTTGAAAAAATGTAGAAACTGCCTTAACCACTTCCTGTTCCCTATACTTTAAGATTACACAATACTAATAAATTTTATCTATAACTTGTCAGGATAGTTATAAACCATGTCCAATTTTACCTTAGTTTTATCTTGTCCATGATCCATGTGAACGATTGTTTGAGATTCCTTTTGTACAACCATTCTCCAGAAATCTATAACAGTATTAGGTAATGGTGTCTGGGTCAATATATAAGCTCTTTTCTTTCTGTAACTCTACAAATTATAATTCAAAATTACACCAGCAATTAGATTTTATGTCAATACTCTGAAATAAATGAGAGGTAGTATCATACATTATTATAACCTACATCTCGAGATAAGACATCGGGTATGTGCCTATCGGCATGGACCGCAGTAGATTCAACCACACCTGTTCAATTCTTGGTCTACTTGTGGGTACGTGTTGATAAGTATTTATCTAGAGCTCCGAGTCTTTACTGGTATCATCCACAAAGCGTAAACCAAGTATAGATTTGGTTTTATTTGTACATTCTAAGTCGCGTGATTTCATAATGTACCACCAGAATGATTGAAAATACTCATTATCATATCTAAAACGTGACGCGACAGTACAATGGATGCGTGTACCAGTACAGGCACAATTTCCGGTACGTATAAAAGACTATACATTGTATATGTCCATTAAAGGAATATGTTGGTGTCCACAGATATTACAATATGTTAAAGAACTGGTTAAACACATCCGATATATAATTTTAACACAGTGATTTTTGCTACGGCTGACACCAACATTGTCCTTTAATACACGAGCATACCATTTGAAAGTATAAAACAGTACACAAAATCCATGTGATGCGAAAACAAATCATTACTTACTGGTATATAAACAGCATTGATATAATCTGTTGTATTAGGAACCGGTATCGTCAAAAGTATTCTAGTATTTTCATCTAAAAATATATCGTTAAATCTTTTTCTTTTTTACAAAATTTTTATCAACTAAAATACTAGCATGCTAACATTATAGATCGTATACAAGAATTCGAAAATAATGGGTGTTGGGCATATAATGTGAAAGTGCATACAATCTAGAATTAAGAGAGGTGGCTTGAGATATATTTTAGAAGTCATTGGTATTTCTGCATATAATGTGAACGTTGCTTTAAGAGGGGTGGCAAGGATTATACTTCCGTCGGAATGAAAATTAAAACCCAAAGATTATTTAAATTATTCTTTATTGTAGTCAGTTATTAGGTGAATCTAATGCACTTCTATAAAATAAGGCGGTTCTGCGAATATGGTGCTGATTTAATAACCAGGGGGTTCCGGGTTCGATACTGGTGTTGGCCAAGAAAGTTCTTCGGGATTTTCCTGTCTGCTTTCTCCTTATAAACTATTAACGAACTAACACTCGGTTATGAAAGAAATTTTGTATTTTGTACTCTAAACATGTGCTTTTTCTAGAAACAAACAAACTGGAAATTTTTTTTTTTTTAACTAAATTAATCTCCGACAAAGAAGAGTAAGATAAGAAAGTCTTAAATGAAGTTATCTTCCATCAATAACTAAACTCTTAACAGAACCATTTCAATTTTCTACAACACCCCTCATAGACGCAATTTGTCCGGGTATTTCAGGTTCTGCACCCCCCACCCCCCGATTTTATGTATAAATTTATCAGATATTTCTAAATTTATCTTGGTTAGAGGACACCGGTGAAACGTGAAATAAATACTCTTCATAAAAGGCTTCTGGTTATTCAACATTTTTTAAAGTCACGTCATAATCCAAATGTATAAATAATGAATTGATGTTATATATACGTATACAATTTCACACACCGTCTTCTTTATATTATATAATTATTACTATTGGCATACTTATTCAACAAGGACGTTACTCAAATATCTATTTAATTTTTACACACGTGACAGCGTTAAGGAGCATAAAAGGTTTGACTATTCATTTTATTCATGCAAACCAGTGAGGTGTTACAATAGTTACATAGAAATATGTAATACAGCCGTCTTAATGCAAGGTTCCCACTATCAGGAAAACGCGTTTGCGGCCGTCAAATTTTCCATATAATCTTGGGGAGGGGGCTACACTATAGGCGACCGGCTCCGCCGTCTGTAACCGGAATTCTTTTCGGGCATTTCAGGTTTTCCCCGCCCCCACTAACATTCGTCGAGCCTGTACGCCTATGTTTCTCTTTATCAGTGACGAAAGACGAAAGGCTCGACAAGGATATAAACCCGTGTAGTTATCTAGATGTGACGAAAACCGAGGTCCGTGTATACCATTGGCAGCACGTTACAGATTCCTGTCAAAAATCGAAATAGTGCCGCTGTCAAGGCAAAATTGCCCAATAACACATTTCATGGTGTATGCCAGTTTTCCTTATCCCAGTTGATGCAGACAAATAAGACATTAAACCCCATGTCATTTCATTTCCATGCAATATTATTTTAAAATAAGTGAGATCACTGCCGCGGTAATACATGTATCTATTAAATGCATGTAAAACCACAAGCGATTCATATCATGCCAGAATACTCCTTTTGATTTTAAAGAAAAGGGTAAATTTTAAATCTCGAAATAAATAATATTACGTACACGCTAATATTGTTGACACTCTATTTTTAATTTTATTTTCTTTCAGTAAAGCTGTAGAATAATCAGCGTCTGTATATTTTGGACAAACCTGTCCCATCATCTACAATAAGGCATAAAATTAATGGGTATTTGTCATACTACCAAATTAACTCAATTTTGGGATATGAACCATAACTGTATAACTGTATTGGTTGAAACAAGGAAATATTTTACTACGGACAGATGAACAAAACCCATGACCATGGGTCATTAAAGATATCACACCAGTCCAGACCGGGATATATTATTTCTACTTGAAATAAGATAATATTCCTTGTACAGTCAACATTTATAATTTCTTATAGCTTTCAAGATGCATTATGTAAGGACTAATTCTGCCTATTGGAGGTCTTTATTTTGGCTTCAAAGTTCAAATGTTATATAAATTATTACTTAGACATTTATTTATAACATAACAAGTCCAAAATAAACTCTCTAGGTCTAGGTGGCTACGACACTAAACAATGAACGCTACATCTTCCAACACTCATAACTGGGCTCAGAATATGTGAATAATGGAAACCCTGAAATTTGATTGGAGATTAGAACTACTTTTTATTGTGACTGCTTAATCACACACCATATAACCCGAACTATGTATTGTCACTAACTTTGGAATGTTTCTTTCCTACACTTGAATATTGGACAATAATAGTGAACTTACTTCAAACCTTTCTTCTAGTTCACATTTACCAGAACTTTGTTTAACTTTAAGAAGATCTTGATAAACACCTTGATAAGCTGTAACAGTAGTTGTAGTATCACCAGCTATATACCATTCTAATATAGCTTCATGTAGAAATACATACTGATCCTACAAATATTTTTCATGAAAAATAAACTTTAAACAAATCTGAAGAATAATACATAGTCAACCAGATAACACACCTCATTGAACCAGAAATTATACTTCCATGATGCAGGTCTTTCGTACAAAGGGTAAATAATAATAATAAAATGTCTTATATAGCGCTAAATTATGTCCTCTGGTCATTTCTAAGCGCTTGGCAATGAGCTTAACTATTGTTCTAGCACATAATATTTGGTAACTAGAAAGTGTCTTTAGTGTTTACTTAAAACTTGAAAATAGAGATGTCATGTGGATCTGTCGAGGAATACTGAGTTACTCATTGTATCAATACTGAGTTAATTTTAAACCTATAGAAAGGAATGCAATGGTACTAACATGGATTTAAATGTAATCATATAGAAAGCACCATGCATGGTATTAATACTAGTTTATTTTAATCTTAAAGAAAACACCATACCTGGTATTAATACTGGGTTGATATTAATCTTTTAAAAACCACCATATATAGTATGAATACTAAGTTGATTCTAAACCTATGGAAAACACCGCACATGGAATTTTGTTGCATATTATTGAAATGAAAAAATAGTTATAATTTTAAAATGATTTTCAGCTTACATCAGTTTGAACCATATTCGTCCTTTCTTTTCTCATCTGTGAAACACATTTAAAAACATCAACAGAACCTTCAGCTTTACCTTCTTCTATCAGATAATCTAAAGCTAAAAATGTTCCTGTCCGTCCAATACCAGCACTGAAAAACATGAAACAGATTTAGATATACATGTATTCGTTAATTTACTATTAATATTCGTATCTCCAATTGAATATGATTAAAAGCAAATTTAGTTAAAATATGACAAGTTCTATCAATATTTCGTGTTCTTAGTTGTGTTCTGTAAATAACCAATGAAAGTACAACTGTTCTAATCATGCCAATATATCTCCCCAAAATCTGTGTATAAATTTACTCAAGTCCGGTGCATAAGGCAGCCGACATTAGAACTATAATGACGAAACGTTTCCGTCTTCATTAGGACGTTAAACCTCATTTCATTTCATTATACGATCGGGTTTCTTCACATTAAGACAGTGCTTTAAATATTTACATTATCATGGCATTTCCAAACACAGTTTTTGTTATACAACACAGAATTAACGAAACCAATGTATTATATAGGGTCAATCCCCCGTTTCGTTTTCATCACTACACACCATCTCTACGATATTAATCTCTGATAATAAATAATCATACTGATAATAGCGACCCCACAAGATCGGCTTCTATTGATAACAACAGGTTAATATCAAATATTTAAAAGCGAACTAACCTACAGTGTACCACCATTGGTCCTGGTTGTGGTGATTTGACTTTAAGTATCTTGTTTCTGAATTCTACCAATGACGCCATATCAGTAGGGACACCTTTATCAGGCCATGATGTATAATGACAATGTTTTATTGTCCGAGATCCACATCCATCCTACAGTTTATTTTCAAATATAATATTTTTAACATGAAATTACACCCTATTCAATAAACGTATTTGCAAAATCTTTTAAAAGAGGCTAGGTATACTAAGACCCTGTGTAACGGAATTTTTTGTCTTGCTATTATTATTATTATGAATTCCGTTATCGACAACTCGATGGCATCACAAATTTAAGAAGAAGAATTGTCAGAAACGATACTAAAGAAAAAACTACAGGATTAGCTTAGGCTACTTACTTTTGATATTTTCAATGTCCTAATAGTAAAATGGGCCAATACATCCTCCTCAATCAGTTCAATTTTTATCTTTCTGAAAGTCTTTACCTTGCCACTCGATGGCCAGTATTTCAAACATTTCATCTGTTATTTGACAGAAAGTAAATAAATAAATTAAAATTTTGTTTTCGGCTCTCTTCAAAAAGTGGGTTGAACCAGTGTACAATACACCATTCAAAATATTCTATAACTGATCAAATTAACTGGTACCATTATAGGCAAACAATTAAATATAAAATAATTAATAGAATCTATTTTTCTAACAATCTAAAGATAAAATATGTTGTATGTAACATTTTAAAATATCCATATTAAACTTACAGCACCGGCTTCGTGTAGATTAGTAACCATAGCAATCTTTCCTGTTTTAACATCCCAAAGCATTCTGACAAACTCATAGATGTTAACATCATTAGGCCCTATATATTATATATTTAAAGATATTTATTAACGTTATTATCACAATATGACGAAATCAAATCAGTAAAGTTTCTAAACCGAAAACAATTGGTAAATTTATTGATATTAGTCAATAATTTGCAACGTGTACTAAATATTAAGGGTTGGCGATCAATGTGATTGAGTGTGTACAATTTATGAGGGCATTCTATCAGCAGAAAGATTGACGTCTATTTTAATGGAGTTGCAGCTTTCAAAATAGTGACCTAGGGTTAAAGCTTGGAACACATTATGCGAATTTTATTGTCGGTGTCGGCCGAAGCTCGGGCGAAATTCGTAGGTTCAGAAACAGTAGGTGGAATTCTTTGGCGAATGGGTTCGCCCAAATGATTCGCCGTAAAAAATTAAAGAATGTGTCACAGGCATTACGAATAACATGCGCTATATGAACGTTGTTGGGTTTGCGTAAATTCCGTTCTGTACAATCAGATTCGTATTTATAACGCCCATTTGAATATTTAACTTAAATGATAAATAGAATATACCTTGTGCCGCGATGTATTTATTCTTGATATTTCCATATCCCTATAAATAATGAACACATATTATATAGTTTATAAAACGGGGATAAAGACATATCCCTATAAATAATGAACACATATTATGATTATATAGTTTATAAATTGTCTCTATAAATCATGAACAAATATTATTATCAAGTTTATAAAGCGAGACTATCGACATATCTCTATTACATTGTCTTCTGTAACAACACCCTATATGTTTGGCCCGGTTGGCGCTAACGAGCTCTTAAACAACATTTCATTCATTAATATCCATACATATAAATAAATAAATATTATTATATTGTTTATAAAGCGAGAGTAAAGACATATTCGAACCGTACAAATAATGAACATATATTATTATATATTATTATTATCATGTGGCAAAACGTGCAGAATGCAGCCGAAATACTAGAATAAATTCTTAATACCAACCAAACGTGTCAAATTTGTTCATAATATCAACTGAAGGTATGGAATTTATTATTCTTAATATCGACATTAGCCCACCCTGTACATGATAGTGGGACGTTAAACCCCGCTGCATTTCATTTCTGCACCGACTGGGGACAGTCGGCTTAAAAAGAACAATAAGACAGATAATAATGTAAGCTATGCATCTATAACGTATATCGATATTCAACAGCAAACATTTTTAACATCTAAAAAAATAAAAATATAGAAATATGTATATGTATCTTACAGTAATATAATTATTGATATGTTTAGCTTACAGTAATATAACAGGCGTTGACATAATCTGAAGTGGGGTCATCATTTTCAATATCTAGTTTCACCCGTGTGTGATCAACTGAAACAGTAATAGATATTTAAAGTAGCCTTGTCTCTAACTCAATATCACCCAAATGTCTTCGACATTGAAAACACAAATTATTTGTCAATTTAAATCAACATTGATGTTGTAATCTTATCGGGAAAAGATGGGCTATTGATATCCAATATTTAAGACAAAACAAACATCTTATCATTGGTACAAGAATCGTGTACCATAATGCGTTTCCGCGCCATTTGTAACAAGGAACTCGAAAAACGAGGCTAGACATATTCCACAACTCATGTCAATGTGACGACATATTCCTATCTGGAGTGCATGCGCAATAAATACTATCGGTGTAGACTAGAATAATCAGACGCTAGAAATTGCCATTCGATTGAGACTTCTGGCGTATTCGCAAAACATACCTGATTTGAAATTGGGGTAAAAACGGAAACGATTGAAGACTGAACGTAAATCAGTTTATATATTTATATAATTATATGTGTTGCGACCCATTTGTGTCAATTTTTAGGTCCCAAATATAAGCGATTTATATAGCTCCTTTAATATCTAAATGGAGTATTGAAAAAGAAAATCACAACTAACTGCACAATTATTTTGTAAGTAATGACTAACAAGTAATGCAGTCACAAGTGTCCTTATAGAAACTCTATTCATGAAAAGATTAATGTGTTTCAGAATATTATGTTTCTAATAAAAGAAAAAAACGTGTGTTTGTGAATTCAACAATGAAGAATATAAATGTACTTGCATTCAATTCAGATCGTGTTAATATATCTAACACTTACATGCACATATGTTTTTGTATCTATTTTTAGGTCGATTAACATCGTTCAGACAAACATCAACTGGTGAACACAAGTCTTTTGGCAGTTTCTTGTAAATAATAAAAAAAGTCCTACTAATCACGGACAAGTATTGCAAAAACGCCCAAAGTATTGCAATACCCAACCGTTATTATAGATAGTAATATTCTACATATCATATTTAACATTTAAATAATTTTATAAACAATTAACGAAATTATGGATAATTGGAAAATTGTAACAAAGCAGCGTAATACCGGCAAGGGGGGCTATATATTACACTAAATCAACTTTTATAAAACCTACAGTCAACATGTGACAGATAGATATGTCATGTAACTCATGAAATTATATAGTTCAGTTGAGTGAAAATTAAAGAAGATATACAGGTTGTAAAAGCCCATGTATATGTCTCAACAAACCATATTTGTGCATCAATAAGCCTGATAAAATAACAAACAAGATTCAAGATACCAAATAAATTTACCGACATGAAGCAATAAGATCTATATTATAACTATGCTACGTATCCAATAATAGTTACCTTAGGATAAATATTAAAGGATATAGATCAATATATAAACTATGAAATACATTCCGCAATGTTGAATCAATCGGTAGTAAGCCGATTTGTCAACACTTCACTTATCTTTATGAAATCATTAAAATTTTGGATATGATACTATCCAGAATAGGCATAACTGATCGGTCATTGTCGATCATATTTTGCAATATTTCGGGCGCTATTGACAAAAGATCGCTTTTGTGAGTGATTGGTGTTAAACAATGGAGAAACGATATAATTTTAATATCATATATACATCAGATGTTACGTTTAATTGGATACAGCCTGCTCAATATAATCCTTGATTTGCATTTAGGGAGTAAGCACAATAAAACACAATACAATTTATATGGAAAGCATTCACTGGTTTGTAAACATATAGCACGACGTTTCGACAAGCGTGCTGTTATCGTTATCAGGTACAAATGAATTTGATAACAATAAGAGAACACTTATCGATAGGTCATGGTATATGTGTACAAACCAGTGACTACTTTCCATATAAATTGAGTTGTGTTCTGCTAAATACAAAGCGGTTGACCAAACTGGTTTAGTTTCATTTTGTTTTATATTCTCTATTTCATTATTTACCATTATGGAGTCTACAATAGATATATGAAATCAGAAGTAAATATAATACAATGATCCTATCAATCGGTAACACCATTGATTAATCCTAGAAAACAATTGTAATACCGAAACGTGTGTATTCCTGATTTGGTAATTATAGAAGCCGATAACTACCATTCAAAACACGAAAGTCGAAAATTCGAAAAGTAGAAGTTACGACAAAATGTGAGGCGACAGCACGTATTCAAATGTGACCTGGAATTTAGAGACTACAACAACTTCCGAAGCGAAACTCGACAGTACGACAGCAAGCCAAAATGATAGGTCGCTAATAGCGCGTTGTGTTTATTTCCTAATTTCTACTTTTCGAGTTGCATTATGGCTTGGTATGCGTGTGTTGGCGCCTTCTTATTGACATCAATAAAAACAATTTCCTATTTTCGAGTACATTTTGGCTTGTATAGCGTGCTGTCGCCTCACTTTTTGTCGTAACTTCTACTTTTCGACTTTCGTGTTTTGAAGGGGCGAAAAGTAAAAATTATGAATGGTAATTATAGGCTTCCACGGATAATACTATTGCAGTTTATTGCTCGCAATACCCATTGTCATTGGGTTTGTCTTCTGGGCCTCTGGTTGTTTGCATAAATATGGTGTATTTAATACTAATAAAGATAGTCTATATACAAGAACGAATCGCATTTGCTATTTTGTTCTTTTATTCAATTTACCTGATATTCTGGTTTAAAAGATTCATCTTGTTTCTTTCTTTGAATGGTTTCCCACAAATCCTTCAGATCAATACAAGTTTTGGATCGTGTAATTTGAATGTTCTCATAAACATCTGGTCTAGCATCATTAACATAAACAGCTTGTCTAGCACCATTTACGTAAACTGATTCTCGGACATCATCTTCGTCTGTAAATATTAATCGTTTATAAATAATCTTCATTTCAAATATGGCATTCACAGAAAAAGTACTTGTAATGGTTAAAATAAAAAAAAACCTCTTTGAATTAAATAATATTTTTTTTCAGAAAACCGAGAAGCCTGATTAAAATGATGAAATAAAGGATTAATAATTAAATATTTACTCGTTTGTGACCTGGTTGATTTTATTGTTACATCAAATATTCTTGCATAATAAAATGACTTTGTGCGCTCTTTAAATTTCTTTCATAATGTACAGAATTTGTTTGGCAATTCCTTTTAAACATCTTCATTTTATTATCAGTTTTAATGCGAAACGGCAATAAACTTTTTTTCTGGCCGTTCAAGTTCGATTTTACCTGATGTATCGTTTCTAATAATCGATTTCTTTAAAGTGAAGTTTTCATATTTATTATCGTCAGATTCTAGTCCTGGCATATTACTTTTATTTCTTTTTCTGCAATAAATATTTTATGTTATAGGTAAATTATTCGCAGTCATTGAGACATACTCGAATTTTGGGGGGGTTGGATGGCTGAATGGTTAGCACGTGAGTGCTGTATCATAAAGTCTGTCATTGAGTCAACTGGCGTGGTTTCGATTCTTCGGTTGTACGTGACAAGGAGTAGCGTCGCCTGTGGGTTTTCTCCGGGTCCTCCTGTTTCCTCCCATTGCTAAAGACTCCTACGCGCAAGCGAATTATGGAAATAAAATTGAACCATATTTTAGTCCCTAAATGACCTAGTTTGTGTCGAGTAGGCGTTAAACCCCATTCCTGTCCCTCTCCCTCTCTCTCTCTCTCTCTCTCTCTAATATAGAATTTTAAAGATACATTATGTAAGATTTAGTTGAAGAGCTGACAGTTTAAAAATAGATGTTGAAAAGGCTTAATGTATTGGAAATTTCAGTTAAATTTTTTTATTTGAGCGAACTTATGACTGTTTGAAGAATGATTATTTATTTCAATCAAGTTATTAAATATCGATCGTGTTTCATTTCGTTCAAAATTACAACCATCTGATGATATAGAGAGTTGATTATGGGTTTGGTATCTAAATAATTTACATAACATTCTAGGCCAAACGAAAGATATGAAATAGGCAAATTTGGCTCTTACATAATGCATCTTTAATAAAATACTGTATATTTGAAAACACGGTTAAATAACATGGGATAAAATGTACACCTAAGTTTCACATAAAATGTACACCTAAATGTCACATAAAATAAAACTTTGTTAGCTACGTTAAGTTCTGAAATGAAATGAGACGTGGTATCCGGTGTTATAAAAAGTATTTGTTTAATGAAACTATACATTGTAAAACAATCTTACCTTTTCAACATAACCACACCCACGATAATTAAAACAATAACAACAAGAATAACGGAAACAACAACAGCTATTACAACATAATTAAGGCCGAAAGCTGAAATAAAACAAACAATTCTAGGAAGGATGCCTTTAGAACAAAAATGAAAGCTCGTATTTCATCGGTGGCCTAAAATAATTTCCAAAATGTCGTATGTTATCAAACAGTACCCACGTATGTTGTATTCTAAAATATACCCCAAACTCTTCTTTAATTAATGGTAAGTTATGTTGTATACACCTACATATTATAATAACTATAGATATTTAAAAGGACTTAAAACAACAAATAATAGGATAAAACGGTTCTTTTATATCCAAATACAACTATCAAGTCACATCATGTGGTTAAAGACGAAATCACTCATAATTCTTTGTTTTATAAATTAGAAATAATTTCTAGCACTGCATAACAAAACTACAAAAGTATGTCTTAAGAATTCTTTCATATGCAATATAACAAACTAAGTAAAAATTTGTCTTAAGAGAATTTGGAAAATTTTCACTTTCTAATATTTGTGTTGAATTTGTGTCGGCATACAATATTTAGTCGCTTATTATTCATTTACTTCAGGTAAAACGAGTATTTACAAGAAGGGAATTGTTTGAACTAGAGAGTTTTTAGTTTATCTTGCCAAAAGAAATAATGGCGGTAAGCCTACGCCTTCCCATGTCCTATATAACACCATTAACCCGCTTTACGTATAGCCTCTTAGATCTTAGATGAAACAATCCACTGTATAGATCTGACATACATGAATACTTTGATTTTAAAATTAATTTTAATATATATCTTACGGTCTTGACAAGTATCTCCTGTATAACCCTGCATACATCCCAATTGGCAACTTCCGTTGGTAATCAGACATGTTGCATTCTTAGCACACTTTCCACACTCGCTGATACAATTCTCACCATAATATCCCCAAGTACAATCTGAAATTATTTACAGAGAGCATACATGTAGGGTATATACGGGAATATATTATATTTTCTAAATAACGATTCCTACATATTATAACTATTTAATTATGAAACAGAGGATTTTAATAGATGGAGTTTACTTGGTACGAATTTATGAAAAAAAAAGATTACTTAGTTTGAGAAAATAGCATCATTGATAAAAGGAAATCATAATACAGTTCTTAACTTTCGAGAATAGTTTCATGTACAAGACAAACTTGAACCCAGAGCCCTCAAACTTTACAAGTGTTTTAAACATACTGTAAACTAATTCAACTTAGATGTGGATATCGTCTACTACTTCCACACACACCGCCACTTTGACATGAATTTTATATACGTATTACAACCTAAAGCATTTTGTCTCAGCAATTATGGTAGGATTTATGGCACTATATTTGTTACACTTTCTAAATCGGATCACTTGTTTTGTCAATAGATAAAAAGTACTAATGGAGTAGATTTCATAAGAGTTCAATAGACATCTTGAAACCAGTACCTGCTGCACTATTTAAGAATTCAAACCTACGTGACTTAGTTATATTAATGAAAGAGTAAATACAAATTGTAAATAAACATGTCTCACTGTTAGAGCAATCCATTCCCATTTTACCCTTCACACAACCAGCCAAACAGTTTCCATTTTCCGGATAACAGGAACCAAGCTTACAGTTAGAACTACATTGGTAATTGCATGATGTTCCATAATATTTTCCATTTTTACATTGCGAACAGTTGTTGATATCATCTTGATTACAAACAGTACAGTTATCATTACACTCTTTATTACAGGTATCTCCACTGTATCCTTTAATACATAAACTACATGTACCATTAGTTCTATCACATCTAACATCACATGTTGTACTACAAGTCTTATCACATTCATCACCATATCTTCCTACAATACATTCAGTACAGCTACCATCATTCCTACTACAGTTACCAACACATGTTGTACTACAATTTAAATCACAGCCATCACCATATCTTCCTACAATACATTCAGTACATGTACCATTTCTATCACATGTTTCTTGTGTCCCATCTGTAATTGGTAGACATTCAGCACCACATGTTGAATTACAATATAGACCAACTGTATTGCGTTTACAACTATTACATTTACCCTCGTCCCTGGAACAATTATCGAAACAGTTAACAGGACATAGTATATAACAATAATTACCAAATATTCCCGATTTACATTCTGTACATCTACCTGTTGATTTATCACATTCTTCAGTACAATTACTAGAACATCTAGTTTCACACCTATCACCATACCAACCAGGTTTACATGTAGAACATTTTCCTGTATTCATGTTACAACCACCTATACACTGATCAACTATACAAGATGCATCACATCTATCTCTATACCACCCTTCTTTACAACCACTAGTGCAATAACCATCTACCTGTCTACATCCCCCACTATTACAGTTATTAGAACATTGTTGTTGACACGAGTTACCCCAATAACCATCACTACATCCACCATTACAAATACCATCTGATTTAACACATGACGTCATACATGTTGAACATGACGATTCACAGTTTGCACCGTACCATTTTAGATTACATGTACTACATTGTCCTGTATTCCCAATACAGTTACCTACACAGTTAGCAACTATACATGTAGATTCACAGTTGATGCCATGTTTACCTACTAAACATGGCTCACATTTACTCCCACTAAAACCTGGTTTACACCCATCTCTACAGACACCAGTATCTTTATTACAGTAACTGTCTATACAACCATCATTACATCTATGTTGACAGTTGGTACTATGGTAACCTTGTGTACAGCTAGAACATTGTCCTGTAGTCCTATCACAGTCACCGACACAGTTGGTAACTGTACACTTGGATCCACAGTTTGGTGAATATCTTCCTCTGATACACCCATCACTACAGACACCAGCATCTTTATTACAGTAACTGTTTAGACAGCCATCATTACAGCTTGATTGGCAGTTGGTACCAAAGTAACCTCTTGTACAGCTAGAACATTGTCCTGTATTCCTATCACAGTTACCTATACAGTTAGTAACTTCACACGTTCTTTCACAGTTGTTACCATATCTACCATTAATACAGTCGTTACAAATGCCATCTGATTTACGACATGCCGCCTTACATGCAGAACACTGCTGTAGACAGTTTGTACCAAACCAACCAGGTTTACATGAGTTACAGACACCTGTTGTTGTATTACAAGAATTACAGTTATCAGCACCTGTACAACCTGAAAAAAATAATTATTTATTGTGTATTATGTACCAGACCGAGTAGTGTACTGTAGTTTCAAATATTGTTATTTAATATAATGAACCATTTGTACAGCTAAAATAAAATATCACCTGTTGAATCTAATTAAAACAACAGTTATCAACAACCAGCAGCAATGGATATATAATCACCGTCGATTTTGCAGAATAGGAGCTCGAATAACTGTTTTTGTCTTTAACTGTCGACTGTTGAAAGGGTTTGTTATATGTGAAAAGATATAGATCTGGTAAACCATACTGATTATTCACCTAATTTATGCTAATTGATTTTATCAACAGCGCTGGGATATAAACAGTAAACACAATAGAAACTGGTATAAAGTTTTACTAAACTTGGCCATTCTCGATATCCTAACCTACTAATTAAAAACTTGGATACAAGGTATCCGCGCATATTTTAACTTCACACAATGTAAGTATACCAGTAATTTTGATAAACATTGTTCTAGCAGATAAAGTAAAGAGACCCACCTGTGTATATTTGAACTTCACATAATGTCAGTATACCAGCAACACTGACAAACACTGTTCTAGCAGATAAAGGTATAGATGGCTGTTGATTACATCCATCTATAGTATATACACTTTGTGCCGATTGCGTTGTATCGTTATAGCATGTTGTAGCTGATGTAAATCCTTGCCCATTACACTGATCATCAGAACTTAGCTTTATCTCAAATCCTTGTAATCTGTCTTGATCTGTAACATACAATACATATTTACTAAATGTATTCATTGCACTCCTAGCAACATAATACCCAAATCATAAAGGATAATTCGCATACAGATGAGATGTGGTATCCTCGCTAATTATAGAAGCATGTCCATCCAGAAAACCCACGTTAAACTAAATTGGAGGACTACAATGCAGAATTATAAGCAAATCACAAGCTTACTGGATGTTTGTGTCTGATCAGCATAGTATTTCATAAACACACTTCTTGGCACGTGATAAACGGTGAAGATTTTTTGACCCTATGGCGTCAGACATTTGAATACCCAATCGGCATTGATGTTTCTAGTGGATTATCCACAGTTCCGTGCACAACACACCTAAAACTCGCCGTAACAGACCGTTTCATTGGCTAATCCCTCACAACATTCAGAACACGTCAATGATAACAGGTCTTCCAGATCCTAGTGTAGTAAAGACGAGTAAAACAAATTTTAAACTATAAAAATAGGATAGGATCTGTGTTTTACTCAGATTGATATAATTGCGTACGTAGTGAAAAACGGAATGAAAAAAAAAATGGGGTTGAAGGTCTTATGTTTCTGCAGGCACTGGCTGTGAGGGAAATATCTCCCAGACAGCTGCGTTTCCACCTATTCTTCCTTGAATTCCTAGTGACAAGGGTTTATTTATGTTTCTGCAGGCACTGGCTGTGAGGGAAATATCTCCCAGACAGCGGCGTTTCCACCTATACTTCCTTGAATTCCTAGTGACAAGGGTTCATTTATGTTTCTGCAGGCCATTGAGTACACCTGTAGACCTATTTTGTTTGTCTCATCCGACGACTAGACGCTTTTTATTCGCCACCGCACCACTGGGAAGAGAAGCCAGGCTCGATAATCCTGGTTCGAATCCGTTAACTCTTGCTTAGTAGGCCAGCGCCATATTCCCTGAGCCACCAAATCCCCAACAAAATGAATAATGTGATGTGCTTCATTTAGTTCAGTCACATCCTATTATTTCATCCCTAAGACGTATAGTGATTGTGTTATTAGGAAACATGAAAAACAGTGTAAAATACGTGATTGCAAAATGGCCAATATCGAATAACATGATAATTGAAAATAAGTTTTATAAAAGTACATGAAGGTAAAATTGCCAATATCATGTTACACCATTCTAATGCAGAATAAGTTATTATAAACTACGTGATAGAAAAATCGTCATGCTACACCAAGCTAGTGGTCAACACGCTTTACGTAAAGGTAAAATGAATAATATCATGTTACATCATGCTAATGGACAAAACGTTTTTAAATGGAATATCAAATAGTGAACAAGTATAATGGTGTATTTCTGACATTCCAGGGGCCTGTTTCACCAGATTTTAACTAAGATAAAATCCAAATTTTAGTAATTTGATAATATTAGATTGAATTTAGTGCTTAGCCAATTGAAATTGAAGTATCTACTAAAATTTGGATTTTATCTTCAGTTAAAATTTCGTAAAACAGACTCTAGATATAAAGTGTAATGTTGTTGATAATGATAATAGGTTGTAGATCAACACATCATCAACTACCTGGACTGTCTATGGAAAGAATACTTGATAAATTGTTCTTTACTTACAACTGTTGATTCTGTTATATATTGGTGATATTGTATACTTATTGGTGACTTTGTTATATAGTTTAATATTGATAATATTGTGTACTTACTACTGCCGAGTCTGTTATATAGTTTAATATTGATGATATTGAAGTCTTCTTGTAAATCAACACACAACCAACTAGGTGAACCTGTTTGTGTATGGCTACATGATCCTCTAGTATATTCACTATTAGTATCACCATCTACTGCTTTAGATGCTACACTATCCCTGTATGTAGAACTCTGGTTGGTTGGTTTATTTAAGGCTACATTTTTTATTTGGGCTGAAATATTAAAACAAAATCGGTATTATAAATAGCTATTTATTTCTCTCTCACAATTTTAGCGAAGAACTCATGCTTTTAAATGTAAAATCACCATCAGATGACACACGAAGTAGCAAAACTCATTGAGACTGCACTGTTAGAAAAAATCTGGTAAATTTACATGAAAATTACTGGCAGCAAAAGTTGCCAGTAAATTAACTGTAAATAAACATTCAGCTGTAATATTACAGAGTTTCTGTAATTTGACTTTGTGAGTAAATTTACCTTAAAACAGTAAATGGAAAATAACATGAGTTTGTTTTTTAACTTTGAACTGTAAATTCACCGCAACACAGTAAATGAACGGTTACAGTAAGTTTGTTTTTAGACTTCCCAATGTAAATTTACCTAAAAGGAGTAAATGAAAAATTACAGACAAATGTTAAAATAAAACACAATGATTTTAACTTCCGTTCCAGGATTTTAGATGGAAGCTTGTGGTACTGTCTACTGCAGGCATTGTAACTCTGCTCTAGAGACAGTCAAGCTAACACTGGCCAATCGGTTTAATTAACCGTCTTCAATTGACCTTGGTTACGAGATAATACAATCTATGACAAGAAAGCAAAACATTTTTTTATACGTTAATGAACATACTTACAATCTGATCAACGTACGATGAATAATAATACACGTTTTAGATCGTATAAATAAAGAAAATTAAATATATATATCATGCAATATACCAAATTGCACAAAATGTGATTGTCCATATTATGGTTAATAAATTAGAATGAATACTATAAGACAATAATTATTAGGAATGGTTCGTTGCTATGGAATACTAAAATAAAATAAGAGACAGTAAATTTACATAAGAGACAGTAAATTTACCAATAAGTAAATTTACAAAATAATGTGAATAAACGTAAATCTGTAAAATTACCTACTGGCTTTGCTATTTTCATTTCAATATTGAAATATTACGCATGTATTTTTACCGGGGTTTAATGTGCCTTTGGTTTCATAAAAGTTTATTGTAAAAAAGAATGAAACTTGGTAAATATACATCATTTTGGTAAACATTCCGAACATTTTTGGTAAAAATTTAATTGCTGTAAATTTACTTATATTTCTAACCTGAAAGTTTACAAAATAATGTGAGTAAACGTAAAATCTCTAAAATTGCATGCTAAGAGACAATAAATTTACCGAATACGATAACTACCAATAAGTTAAACATACATTATGCAAGAGCTAAATCTGCCTATTGCAGGTCTTTCTTTAGGCCTGATATGTTCTATAAACTATGAATTAGACATTTATTAACATGAAAAGACCATAATCAACTCATGGATGCCATCTTATGTGTTGGATTTTCACTGGATTTGAGTCCGATCTGGGGCTCAACGCTCATTAATGATTAAATTCAAAAATAGATAATCAAGACTATGTTTTTTTTTATCGTACTGACTTAATAAGTAATGATGATCGAGGCTAGGCCTAACATTCAGTCTCTAATATCTCGGTTCCGAGAGGATCAATTTGACAGAAATTTTCAGCATATTCCCATTACATTATCTAGTTTTTAACTATTATAGTGAGAACTGCTGTAATTTTATTTATATTTCTAACCTAAAAGTAAATTTACAAAATAATGTGAATAAACGTAAGATCTGTAAAATTACATGCATGCTTGTTTATTTTGAGTTCAGTTTGGAAATATTACATATGTAAGAATGTATTTTTACTGATTTTGAATGTGTCTTTGATTTCATCACCGTGTATTGTAAAAAAAGACACGAAACTCTGTAAACATACACGAAACTCCGTTAAAATACGCCAGACTTGGTAAAACTACTACATTGTGGTGAAAATACCGATAATTAATGTACAAAAACTGCTTGTACTACTGTAATTTTACAAAAATTTCTAACAGTGTGTTTTTGCTCTTTATTAATTACCATAGAAACTAATTATATGATACCATCGTCGTGAATCCCCCGGAGTTAGGGCCATCATCAAAATTTTCGGGCACTTGGTAAATAATAATAATTTTTTTTTTAGTTGATATAAAAGGAAAAGTGTGAAAATTATTCCATCCTCCAAAATAAAGTGTCCGCGATCCGACATGTCCAAGGATTGTGGATTCCATGATATATAATTTGAAAATAGTGAATTTTGGAAAAGAAAATGATTAAAGAAGCGTTTTGATAATATATGGAACTGATAAAACCATTGTATAGTCAGTCATGCGTACTATTTGAAGGTTAGAAATATCAAAATTAAAAAAGGTGAAAAACATGAACGGTACTGAAGTTTATTGTTTGTCATCATGTGTAATTTATTGTAGAAATACGAGACGGGCGATAGGAGTAATTATGGCATGTTTTGGTTGAGGTAAGGAGGGGGGGGGGCAAGAGTTCAGCAGGATTACTCGCAAATATGAAATATGCGTGTATCCCATAACATTGTAAATATCAGGTCGAATATTAGGCATATGACCCAGACATTTCAATATGATAAGACGGCTGTGGGTCACGAGTGTGGTGCGGAATAAAGGGTCCTGAATGAAGGTCAAGATTGAAATCTTGAAAACTAATTGAGTTGGGGAACTAAGCTATTATCGTCATAATTTGGATAAATTGTATTTACGTTATCAAGTTGATTAAATCATCAAAAGTACCCGGTTTTGTAACATCCGCCATTTGTAGACACTACGTCACACATTCTCTTGCGATGTCTTTGATGGTTACTATATGACGCCATATGTTAGCCCAGGCTGTCAACAGTTTATTTCATATG